TATCTTAACCACAAAATATTCCGTTCTATGGAGTTGGTAGACCTTTTGGGCCCCTATACTCTGAGTGAAGTGTCCCCCCCCCCGGTTACAAATCGAGCATTTTAAGGAGTGATGTTGCTGTTTCATTACTCATGTCATTACACACTTACTCATATAGCCGTTCCCTCCATCATGCATTTTCTGAAGAGCATTACTTCAAGGAATGTCTTGTTGGAGCCGATGGCACGATGGATTCGCGCCACTTCAATGTGTTTTTTGCAACCTACCGTGCATTTGCCGAACCAACCAATGTACTTGATCGGTAGGTTCATTTCTCTTCTATAATTCAACTCTACCACTTTTTTTGCACTTTCCTAGATGGATGTATTTAGATTGCTGAGGCGGTACGAATCGCTTGAGAAAGAAGTGATTTCCAGCACATCGGCGCTCGTTATTCAGAAGTAAGCGCATGGTCAACCTTTGTGGATCTCATTTGGAATGTGTTTGTTCTAGCTCTATTCGCTCGATATTGATTTGCTGGTTGGATATGTATCCAGAGGATTTTTATGATCCGGACTGCGATTTCGCAATGCTCACAAATTTGCTGGATTTTGGTCAACGGAGCAAGTTATCGGATCTACGTGCAAAATCAAGAAAGTTGCTGGAGCGTTTCAAGCACATACAGGAAGAAGGCGGTATGATAGGTAGGTATCATCAAATTACATTAGCTCTGTTCCACTTTGTTTTCATTGTTATGTGTAGCCTGCTAAAGTGCACTGCATTCTCATGAGCTGTGTTGTTACCCCGACAGGTGTTTCATGAGAAACCACTTTTTCAAAAATTTTCGACACCACCGCCTCCCCCTTTGGGGAGTCTCGGTGCGTCTCCCCACGTCCATCATCAGCTACTTTCCTAGAATTTTCACCATGTCCCTCAAAACCGTCAACCGTTTTTAACAACCTCTGTTCCCACCAACCTTGCCCACCTCGAAACGCGACCCCCATTCCGAAAACAAATGCGACCCCTCGTTCGAATAGTGCGAACCCTGTATCTTGCGATGTGCCCACTTCAAACATACCCTGAAACAACGGTTACCTATATCTTACTTGGACTTCTTGCCTTCATAGCTCTAGTGCTTTACACCATGTACTGCACTTAATTATGAAGGGTATATAGAGGTGGACAACCCTGCCAGTCGACAGTATGTCGTCATGGTTTCTTAAGTCTACAACAAACAATCACCATTACGGGTGAACCTTTTACGGGAGGACACTTTTTAGAGTCACGGAGCGGACTCATGAACACATGGATGTATTAGGGTAATTATCCCATGGTGGATGTCCTTGTCTTAGTTATATGGCGAGCTGTTATGAGAATGAACAACTTCCTTTCAGCTGCTCTTCCTTCTTTGGACCAGCTAGCCTATGCATTCGGATACGATGCTTCCGAGTATTCCAAAAATCCACAAGAAAAGTACGTTTTATCACAGACGATACTTCCTCCTTGTTTCAAAAAACATTGCAGGCGCAGCTGTTTGGCTCGCTCTTGATTCATATATAGTTTCTTTAAGGGTCAAAATGTTCGACGTGGGTAGTGAAAACTGTGTTCAAATCGCGGAACAGCTGACATTCTGGGATGCGGTACGTAGTCTTTCCATTTTTTGTTTCTCTTGTTTTTGTTTCTGGTGAAGCCAGCTTATATGTTGTACTGACAAGGTTCTCAGTTTGTCTTCGTTCAATTTAACTGTATATTGTTTTTTTTTTCTTTCCATAAAAGATTGTAGTTGTAGGAGCTTTTCCGTGAGTTGATCATCCATCAATGTCAAGGATGTGTATGGTCGAAAAGGCATCGATTGAGCAACGATAAGGTCTATACTGTTAAAGCAACCATCGACCAGGTTAGCTGTTTTCTGCAATCACCTTGTTCGGTATCTTCTTTTCCACGCTTTCTTTCTCTTTCTATTGATCGTGTAACCGCGTTTGCAATCTGGCTAGCGTCTAGAAAACCCACTATACCCACCAACCATAGAAAGCTTACCATAAGCTTGGTGTTAAATAAATGGTGCGTTTGTAAAAACCAAGCAACATGGTCAAAGCCCAAGTAACAACTTCTTCTTTTCGCCTGTTGATTCC